GTAAGAAGATGATGGTGTCTCTCTGTGTGTCTCTCTCCCCGTGTCTCTCTGTCTCTCTCTCCCCGTGTCTCTCTCCCCGTGTCTCTCTCCTCGTGTCTCTCTCCCCGTGTGTCTCTCCCCGTGTCTCTCTCCCTGTGTGTCTCTCTCCCCGTGTCTCTCTCCCCGTGTCTCTCTGTGTCTCTCTCCCCGTGTCTCTCTCCCTGTGTGTCTCTCTGTGTCTCTCTCACCGTGTCTCTCTCCTGTGTGTCTCTCTCCTGTGTGTCTCTCTCCTGTGTGTCTCTCTCCCCGTGTCTCTTTCCCCGTGTCTCTCTCCCCGTGTCTCTCTCCTGTGTGTCTCTCTCCTGTGTGTCTCTCTCCCTGTGTGTCTCTCCCTGTGTCTCTCTCCCCGTGTCTCTCTCCCCGTGTCTCTCTCCCCTTGTCTCTCTCCCCGTGTCTCTCTCCCCGTGTCTCTCTCCTCGTGTCTCTCTCCCCGTGTCTCTCTCCCTGTGTGTCTCTCTCCCCGTGTCTCTCTCCCCGTGTCTCTCTCCTCGTGTCTCTCTCCCCGTGTCTCTCTCCCTGTGTGTCTCTCTCCCCGTGTCTCTCTCCCCGTGTCTCTCTCCCCGTGTCTCTCTCACCGTGTCTCTCACCGTGTCTCCGTGTCTCTCTCTCTCTCCCCACGTGTCTCTCTCCCCGTGTCTCTCTCTCACCGTGTCTCTCACCGTGTCTCTGTGTCTCTCACCGTGTCTCTCTCTCTCCCCGTGTCTCTCTCCCCGTGTCTCTCTCCCCGTGTCTCTCTCCCTGTGTGTCTCTCTCCCCGTGTCTCTCTCCCCGTGTCTCTCTCCCCGTGTCTCTCTCCCTGTGTGTCTCTCTCCCCGTGTCTCTCTCTGTGTCTCTCTCCCCGTGTCTCTCTCCCTGTGTGTCTCTCCCTGTGTGTCTCTCTCTGTGTCTCTCTCCCCGTGTCTCTCTCCCCGTGTCTCTCTCCCTGTGTGTCTCTCCCTGTGTGTCTCTCTCCTCGTGTCTCTCTGTGTCTCTCTCCCCGTGTCTCTCTCCCTGTGTGTCTCTCCCTGTGTGTCTCTCTGTGTCTCTCTCCCTGTGTGTCTCTCTCCCCGTGTCTCTCTCCCTGTGTGACTCTCTCCTCGTGTCTCTCTCCCTGTGTGTCTCTCCCTGTGTGTCTCTCTGTGTCTCTCTCCCCGTGTCTCTCTCCTCGTGTCTCTCTCCCTGTGTGTCTCTCCCTGTGTGTCTCTCTGTGTCTCTCTCCCTGTGTGTCTCTCTCCCCGTGTCTCTCTCCCTGTGTGTCTCTCTCCCCCCGTGTCTCTCTCCCCGTGTCTCTCTCCCTGTGTGTCTCTCTCCCCATGTCTCTCTCCTCGTGTCTCTCTCCTCGTGTCTCTCTGTGTCTCTCTGTGTCTCTCTCCCTGTGTGTCTCTCTCCTCGTGTCTCTCTGTGTCTCTCTCCCCATGTCTCTCTCCTCGTGTCTCTCTCCTCGTGTCTCTCTGTGTCTCTCTCCCCGTGTCTCTCTCTCTGTGTGTCTCTCTCCTCGTGTCTCTCTGTGTCTCTCTCCCCGTGTCTCTCTCTCTCTGTGTGTCTCTGTGTCTCCCCACGTGTCTCTCCCCGTGTCTTTCTCTCCCCGTGTCTCTCTCCCCGTGTCTCTCTCCCCGTGTCTCTCTCCCTGTGTGTCTCTCTCCTCGTGTCTCTCTCCCCGTGTCTCTCTGTGTCTCTCTCCCCGTGTCTCTCTCCCCGTGTCTCTCTCCCTGTGTGTCTCTCTCCTCGTGTCTCTCTGTGTCTCTCTCCCCGTGTCTCTCTCCCCGTGTCTCTCTTTCACCGTGTCTCTCTCCCCGTGTCTCTCTCCCCGTGTCTCTCTCCCTGTCTCTCTCTCTCTCCCCGTGTCTCTCTCCCCGTGTCTCTCTCTCCCCGTGTCTCTCTCCCCGTGTCTCTCTCTCCCTGTGTGTCTCTCTCCCTGTGTGTCTCTCTCCTCGTGTCTCTCTCCCCGTGTCTCTCTCTCTGTGTGTCTCTGTGTCTCCCCACGTGTCTCTCCCCGTGTCTCTCTCCCCGTGTCTCTCTCCCCGTGTCTCTCTCCCCGTGTCTCTCTCCCCGTGTCTCTCTCCCCATGTCTCTCTCCTCGTGTCTCTCTCCTCGTGTCTCTCTGTGTCTCTCTCCCCGTGTCTCTCTCCCTGTGTGTCTCTCTCCTCGTGTCTCTCTGTGTCTCTCTGCCCGTGTCTCTCTCCCTGTGTGTCTCTCTCCTCGTGTCTCTCTGTGTCTCTCTCCCCGTGTCTCTCTCCCCGTGTCTCTCTCCCTGTGTGTCTCTCTCCTCGTGTCTCTCTGTGTCTCTCTCCCCGTGTCTCTCTCCCCGTGTCTCTCTCCCCGTGTGTCTCTCTCCTCGTGTCTCTCTGTGTCTCTCTCCCCGTGTCTCTCTCCCCGTGTCTCTCTCCCTGTGTGTCTCTCTCCTCGTGTCTCTCTGTGTCTCTCTCCCCGTGTCTCTCTCTCTCTGTGTGTCTCTGTGTCTCCCCACGTGTCTCTCCCCGTGTCTTTCTCTCCCCGTGTCTCTCTCCCCGTGTCTCTCTCCCCGTGTCTCTCTCCCTGTGTGTCTCTCTCCTCGTGTCTCTCTGTGTCTCTCTGCCCGTGTCTCTCTCCCTGTGTGTCTCTCTCCTCGTGTCTCTCTGTGTCTCTCTCCCCATGTCTCTCTCCTCGTGTCTCTCTCCTCGTGTCTCTCTGTGTCTCTCTCCCCGTGTCTCTCTCCCTGTGTGTCTCTCTCCCTGTGTGTCTCTCTCCTCGTGTCTCTCTGTGTCTCTCTGCCCGTGTCTCTCTCCCTGTGTGTCTCTCTCCTCGTGTCTCTCTGTGTCTCTCTGCCCGTGTCTCTCTCCCTGTGTGTCTCTGTCCTCGTGTCTCTCTGTGTCTCTCTGCCCGTGTCTCTCTCCCTGTGTGTCTCTCTCCTCGTGTCTCTCTGTGTCTCTCTCCCCATGTCTCTCTCCTCGTGTCTCTCTCCTCGTGTCTCTCTGTGTCTCTCTCCCCGTGTCTCTCTCCCTGTGTGTCTCTCTCCCTGTGTGTCTCTCTCCTCGTGTCTCTCTGTGTCTCTCTCCCCGTGTCTCTCTCCCCGTGTCTCTCTCCCCGTGTCTCTCTGTGTCTCTCTCCCCGTGTCTCTCTCCCTGTGTGTCTCTCTCCCTGTGTGTCTCTCTCCTCGTGTCTCTCTGTGTCTCTCTCCCCGTGTCTCTCTCCCCGTGTCTCTCTCTCACCGTGTCTCTCTCCCCGTGTCTCTCTCCTCGTGTCTTTCTGTGTCTCTCTCCCCGTGTCTCTCTCTCACCGTGTCTCTCTCCCCGTGTCTCTCTCCCTGTGTCTCTCTCCCCGTGTCTCTCTCCCCGTGTCTCTCTCCCCGTGTCTCTCTCCCTGTGTCTCTCTCCTCGTGTCTCTCTCCCCGTGTCTCTCTCCTCGTGTCTCTCTCCCTGTGTCTCTCTCCCTGTGTCTCTCTCCCCGTGTCTCTCTCCCCGTGTCTCTCTCCCCGTGTCTCTCTCCCCGTGTCTCTCTCCCCGTGTCTCTCTCCCCGTGTCTCTCTCCCCGTGTCTCTCTCCCCGTGTCTCTCTCCTCGTGTCTCTCTCCCCGTGTCTCTCTCCCTGTGTCTCTCTCCTCGTGTCTCTCTCCCCGTGTCTCTCTCCCCGTGTCTCTCTCACCGTGTCTCTCACCGTGTCTCCGTGTCTCTCTCTCTCTCCCCACGTGTCTCTCTCCCCGTGTCTCTCTCTCACCGTGTCTCTCACCGTGTCTCTGTGTCTCTCACCGTGTCTCTCTCTCTCCCCGTGTCTCTCTCCCCGTGTCTCTCTCCCCGTGTCTCTCTCCCCGTGTCTCTCTCCCCGTGTCTCTCTCCCCGTTTCTCTGACTCTCCCCGTGTCTCTCTCGCCGTGTCTCTCTCCCCGTGTCTCTCTCCCCGTGTCTCTCACCATGTCTCTCTCTCCCCGTGTCTCTCTCCCCGTGTCTCTCACCGTGTCTCTGTGTCTCTCTCTCTCCCTGTCTCTCTCCCCGTGTCTCTCTCTCCTCGTGTCTCTCTCTCCCCGTGTCTCTCCCCGTGTCTCTCTCCCCGTGTCTCTCTCTCCTTGTCTCTCTCCCCGTGTCTCTCTCCCCGTGTCTCTCTCCCCGTGTCTCTCTCCCCGTGTCTCTCTCTCCCTGTGTCTCTCTCTCCGTGTCTCTCTCTCCCTGTCTCTCTCCCCGTGTCTCTCTCCCCGTGTCTCTGACTCTCCCCGTGTCTCTCCCCGTGTCTCTCTCTCTCTCTCCCCGTGTCTCTCTCCCTGTCTCTCTCCCCGTGTCTCTCTCCCTGTCTCTCTCCCCGTGTCTCTCTCCCCGTGTCTCTCTCCCCGTGTCTCTGACTCTCCCCGTGTCTCTCCCCGTGTCTCTCTCTCTCTCTCCCCGTGTCTCTCTCCCCGTGTCTCTCTCCCCGTGTCTCTCTCCCCGTGTCTCTCTCCCCGTGTCTCTCTCCCCGTGTCTCTCTCCCTGTGTCTCTCTCCTCGTGTCTCTCTCCCCGTGTCTCTCTCCCCGTGTCTCTCTCACCGTGTCTCTCACCGTGTCTCCGTGTCTCTCTCTCTCTCCCCACGTGTCTCTCTCCCCGTGTCTCTCTCTCACCGTGTCTCTCACCGTGTCTCTGTGTCTCTCACCGTGTCTCTCTCTCTCCCCGTGTCTCTCTCCCCGTGTCTCTCTCCCCGTGTCTCTCTCTCTCACCGTGTCTCTCTCCCCGTGTCTCTCTCCCCGTGTCTCTCTCCCCGTGTCTCTGACTCTCCCCGTGTCTCTCTCCCCGTGTCTCTCTCCCCGTGTCTCTCTCCCCGTGTCTCTCACCGTGTCTCTCTCTCCTCGTGTCTCTCTCTCCCCGTGTCTCTCTCCCCGTGTCTCTCTCCCTGTGTCTCTCTCCTCGTGTCTCTCTCCCCGTGTCTCTCTCCCCGTGTCTCTCTCACCGTGTCTCTCACCGTGTCTCCGTGTCTCTCTCTCTCCCCACGTGTCTCTCTCCCCGTGTCTCTCTCTCACCGTGTCTCTCACCGTGTCTCTGTGTC